CGAGTGTTTTGCCTTAGGTTAAACTCAACAAGCGTCTTCAGAGCATCAATATCAATTCCAACATGTCGGCCCCTGCCATCACAGTTTTTAAGTCTAAAGTCACCTGAAAGAAATTTGCTGAACCATCGTTGACACTTACGAACGTTCAAAACATTTCCATAAACTTCTTTGATATTTTTTGTGACTACAGAGGCGTTGTTTCCCTTCTTGTATTCAAAAAGCATTACATGCCGAATGTGTGTCTCGTCATGTGCCATCACTATAAGAGATTAGAGTATACTAATCTTTACACATTATATAGGCTACACTAACGTGACGTTTAGGCAGTTCGTATAACTATTATACGCGACATTAATTTCTTGACGACCTAATAGTTGGAAAAACTCAGATCCATACTATGAATCGCTATGCTTCAGCTAATAAAAAGCGTTTTGATCCAAAAAATTTCACAAAATAACATTTTAATCTTTACTGATGCGAATTGCAATATTTTTGAAATTAATAAAAGTGTCCTACTTTTGTATGAGTAACGCTAGTTACAAAATGTAAGTACACGCTAAAAATAAATAGCCCATGGACATGACCTGGTAGCTTTTTATGTGTATCATTGAATTCATGTCAGATATATAGGTCACCCTATAAAGCCATTTTAAACAGCGATGAGGAGAGTGTAGATACTAAAAGTTAAATTATATTTGTAACTACCATTTACTTATTTATTTTATAGTGTATTATTGTTGACCTTCTAAAGGAAAATAGCATCCTATAAAAAAAATGATTCTAAATGACTAGCATGTTAGATCAAGAACTCCTACTAAAATTAAAAGTACATATTTAGTACAGTAAAATAATGGGGATTGGGATATATAGAACAGATATTATAACACTAAACTAAGCACAAACCGCCCCCACAAATAACGGTATACAACTATGAAGGAAAATTATTATTTTTTTAATAAGAAAAGGCTGTAAATTTGTCAACTAATTTCATAAAATTAGCTACTGAGGCAATAATTCCCTCCTCCCTGGCTTTCACGTTGTTTTTAAGATCGTGGCCGTAGTGCACTTAAAATTGTATGGGAATCACTACTTTTCTTCCCACCCCCCTTAAAACTATTGGAGATATTGCTACAATTCATGAACAAGATCAATAGATTTTCGTTGAGACAACTTTCTATTTTCAGAAGCCAATACGTTTGCTGAGACTTAGACTTTTTAAACCAATTTTTCTACATGTCAGATTTTTTCATAAATATCTAAAACGTACCATCGGCAAAGGTTTTACATTTTCAGTTTTATTTTTATATTCATTACTTCCTATCTTTTACTATGTCGTAAATATAGGCTATAAAAGTGGACATATCTAAGATGCGATTAATAATTTATAATCGGATTAACATCATTAACTATCTTTCGGGATTTTAAAAAAGGTCTTGCTTTAGATACTATAGTTGAAAATATGTCAGATCTGACAAAAGTATACTGATTTTAAGCGATTTTATGAGATGTTATGTTTTATTAGTCATGTTGAAAACACTACGTGCAGTTTTAAACAAAGCACTAGAAACACACACAACTTCAAACTTTATTTTTTTTTCAATAAAGCCATTACAATAAACGTTCATTGCAAAATATCAGATATTACAATAAAAATGAATATACTATTAACGATTGGTTACCAACGTAATAAAAGTCACACTCATGAAAATGATATTCTATCAGACAAATTCAAATTTACAATACAAGAAAAGGATAAGAGACTTATCATATCTCATAAATGGCTACCTAAATATGTTTCGTCATGAAATCAAAATTTATAAAATATTAATGTGAGATTTCAAATAGGTATGCAGAAAAGGGCATTTTAATCGTAC